CTAGCACATCAAAGATATTTTGGAATCATGCTAGCTATTTACATTTACCCTTAAAATAATTAAAATTAGATAATTAAAATTTTCAGCTCCTCAGTTACACAATCCACCTTTCAAGTGCTCAAGAGCCACATGTGACTAGTGACTACCTTATTGGACAGCACAGATAGAGGACATTTCCATCATTGCAGGGAGTTCTATTGGGTGATGCTGATCAAGACAGCCTCTCTTTTGCCAAACTTTAAAATTCTCTCTGGATAAACACCCAGTGGCAGGATAGCTGGATCATATGGTATTTCTATTTTTAATTTTTTGAGAAATCTCCGCACTGTTTTCCATACTGGCTGCACCAGTTTGCATTCCCACCAGCAGTATATGAGGGTTCTCTTTTCTCCACATCCTCTCCAACACTTGTTATTTCTTGTCGTTCTCATTACAGCCATTCTGACAGGTGTGAGGTGATATCTCACTGTAGTTTTGATTTGCATTTCCCTAATAATTAGTGATGCTGAACAACTTTTCAAGTGCCTGTTGGTCATCTGTATATCTTCTTTGGAAAAATATCTGTTCATGTCCTCTGCCCACTTTTTGATTGGGTTGTTCATTTTTTTGTTGTTGAGTTGTATGAGTTCTTTATAAATTTTGGAAATTTAACCGCTTGTTGGATATATGATTTCCAATCAACAATTCAAAGAGATTTATGCATCCTCATATTCATCATAGCATTATTCACAATGGCCAAGATGTGGAAGCAACCTAGGTACCCATCAAGGGATGAATGGACAAAGAAGATATGGTACATATACACAATGGAATACTACTCAGCCATAAGAAACGATGAAATCCAGCCATTTGTGACAACATGGATGGACCTTGAGGGTATTATGCCAAGCGAAATAAGTTAGAGGGAGAAAGTCAAATACCATATGATCTCAGTCATAAGTAGAAGAAAAAAACAACAACGAACAATCACATAGAGACAGAGATTGGATTGGTAGTTACCAGAGGGGAAGGGGGGAAGGAGGAGCGAGAAAGGAATGATTAGGCACATGTGTGTGGTGATGGATTGTAATTAGTCTTTGGGTGGGGAACATGATGTAATCCATACAGAAATTGAAATATGATGTACACCTGAAATTTATATAATGTTATAAACCAATGTTACTGCAATTAAAAAAAAGATACATTCAATAAATATTTCTCATATACCTACAAGAAAACCCCACATTTTCCCATTTTGATAATAAATAGAGCCATGAAGAATACAATCAAAATGCTTACTAATTGTGTATCAATTTTCTGATATCTAATAAAAGAGAATGAATAAAAAAAAAGACAAAATTGTGCCATTTGTGACAACACGGATGGATCTTGATGGTATTACGTTAAGCCAAATAAGCAGATAGAGAAAGATAAATACCCTATGATTTCACTCATACCTGGAAGATAAATAAACATATAGATAAGCAGAACAGATTAGTGGTTACCAGAAGAGGAAGGGGTGAGGGGGGCAAAAGCGGTAAAGGGGCACATATGCATGGTGATGGATAAAAACTAGACTATTGGTGGTCAACATGATGTAGTCTATGCAGAAATTGAAATATAATAATGTACACCTGAAATTTACACAGTTATAAGCCAATATGAACTCAATAAAAAAAAAATCTCTCTGAAAGATAAGTTCACCATGCTTTTCTCTCTCTCACCCAGACACCCCCAACAATCTCCTCAGTATGCAAATCAGCTTAGCCTCTCAGTTTATTTTTTTTTTCAATTAGTCAATCACCAGATTCCCCACAACAAAAACACCCAGGGTACTGACACAGCACATGTGAATTCTCTTCTGCAAGCCTTTCTCTCAATTCTGTAATTGTGTACATAGAAACCTCTCTGTAAATCCATATATGTTCTAGGGGTAGATACAGGAAAATGCACACATCAATAAATCTTGTCCCAGTGCACTGTTCCTGTTTGCTAGCCTTCACTGAACAAAGACAGTAGTAGCTACATGGTCTAAATAGACTGTTAGGTGCTTCTAACATCTAGCATAGGTGTGCTTCTAATTTGCAGCACAGGACTGCTCTCTGAACTTGTACTGAAAAGCAGGTGTTAGCACTAAATAAATGTGCACTACTTGATGAGAGGGTGAAGGATTCTCCAAGTTACTGTGAGTTGTCAGAAGTTTTATGTGCTGGTCATTTACCTCTTGTTCTCATATGCATTATATACCCTTTCCCTGCAAACCTTGCCAACTGGCTTCCAGCAAGGTTTGGTCAAAGGAAGGCACAAAGAGAGCAACAGGAAGGGAGTTGCCAGGGTATCCTCGTCTCCCTCTCAGGCAGCATTTCCAGCACTATCTGCATCTCCTCTATCTTTCTGGCTGCCACCAGATAGGCCCTCCTTCCACGGATCCAGCTTCAGCTGGGTGGCCCAGCTATTTGGTTCTGGTACTGTTACCGCCTTCTTTTGTCCCTGTTATCCAGTGGTGTGCTGGTAAATGTTTAACAACTGGCTCTCTGAGGGGGGAAATGCCCTGATTTGAAATGTTTGCCAATATCTGTGGTGTAAATACCCATGCCCAGGCTTGCAAATTCCTGAATATTTAGCAATCACCTCTCATTAGCCTATACAAACTGGCTTCAGCACACTACTGCTCCTCCCAAAGCAAAATAGCAGGTTCCTGTTTTTGTTTTGTTTTGTTTTGTTTTGCTGAGGAAGATTCTCCCTGAGCTAACATCTGTGCCAGTCTTCCTCTATTTTGTATGTGGGTCACTGCCACAGTGACCGCTGTGAGTGGTAGAGGTCTGCGCCCAGGAACTGAACCTGGTCTACCGAAGCCGACTGTGCCGAACTTAACCACTAGGCCACAGGGCCGGCCCCAGCAGGCTCCTGTTGTTAATCTTTGGGTTCTCTCACAGTCCCTACTTAGTTTCTCAGCATTTCCAACTCCTTTGTTACTAGTTACCTGAATTAAATCCTTTCTGTTAGCTACCTGGTATGGGCTATATTTTCCCAATTGTATCCTGAATGTATATTGTTAAGAGTATAAAATTTATTACAGAAGTGCTTTCCAAAGTGCCAGAATATAAATCAGCCATATCACTAAGCATGTTGGAAGTTCAGCTGACATTATTGTTTTTAAAGAGTAAGACTTTCTGGATGAAAGAAGCAGTGAAATCAATTTACAGTGTGGTACACTGTACACTGGTAACAAAAAGTCTGTGGACTGGTAGCTGTGTGCAAACCACACTCTGAGTAACACTGTAATGGGGCACTTTGGAAAAGTAAGTTGGCAATATTATCAAAAACCCCCAAAGTGTCCTATCCTTTGTCCCACTAGTTCCACTTTGACAGAATCTCTCCCAGGAACTCACCCAAAAACAAGGGTAAAGCCTTATACACAAAGATGTTCACTGCAGCACTATTTAATATAGGGTATTTCTGGAAGCAACTTCAAAGTGAAAAAAATCCATTTGATGGGATATTATGCAGCTTTAAAAATTATACTTATGAATATTATAGCAATATGGAAAAAATATAGTAATATGTCAGTAATAAAGTCAGGAAAGAAAACTTTACACATATGACAAGAATTACATAAAAATATGAATGCCAGGAGGAAAAGACCGAAAAGAAATGTGTACAAATAATAGTTGAAGTATGTAAAGGGGGTATTAGGAGATGAATTCCTTTCCTCTAATATTCAGAGTGACTTTTTTCTAGTGTTGCCATTCCACTTAGTTTTGTTAAATAAAAAACAATAAAACCCACCATTAAAGTCATTGTCTAAATGACAATATTTAGAAGGAAAAGAAGACATTACACATTAAGATACCTTTCAATGCTACTTTTATGTTTATAATATAAGTGCTGGGTAAGCCTGAAGTTAAATTAAGATTCCCAACCTACCCATCTGCCATTCACTCCCCCACACATGTTGCCTCCTCACTTGAATTTCATCTGCTCACCAATCTCTATTATCACATATGTAAGAATAAGCAAAATGCTGCCTCTAGCGTCTTTTGAGCCTTCCTTCTGCTGTGGGGTGGAAGACGTTATTCCCTAGAGGAGCATCTTCCAGCTATTTGCAGACAGGCGGGAGAAGCATTGAAGGCTTGAAGAGTTTGTCTACAGGGATTCAAAGCAGGTAGCTGTCTACTCTTGCTCTACTCAGCACAGCTTCAAATCCCTCATTCAAATTCCACTGAGTACCTGGTTCCCTTAGAGATGATAACTGCCTCCTCTGCTGCACACCCCACCTCCCCATCCCGCCATTCACCTCAGACCAGAGCTCTAAAAACATTGCTCACTTAGACCAGGTCCCTAGTAGTAAAAAACAAAAACTTAAAAACCAGTCCTCATCCAATTTTTTTCAACTTTTAAATAAACAAAACTCATCTGCAGAATTCAACATGCAACATTGCCACACAAACCACTGAAGACTACACCGGTGCCCACCAAAAGTATAAAATAGCAATGAAGAGCTCAGGCTTGGGGCTCCATTGTCTGGGTGCAGATACTAGATTTTCCACTTACAAGGTAGATGATCTTGGGCAAATCCTTAACCTCTCTGTCTCTGTTTCTTCATCTGTCTCTGTGCCCTCATAGGATTGTTGTGAGGACTAAACTAGTTATTTTACATAAAGCACTTAGAACAGTGCCTGACACTTGATAAGCAAGCACTCAATAAAGTTTAGCTAATATTAAGTTCTCACTCCAAAAAATAAATGTTGCGTGATGTGGCCCCTGTAAGGCAGTCCTCCCTGCCCTTCCCCAGGGGCCACTCTATCCATAACAGCATACAAACTAAGGGTAAATGTCAAAACATCCACAGCATTAAAACAGCCACATCAAAGCATCATGATACAAGCAGAATCGTGATCATATTCATTTCTAGAATTTTCTATCTCATCAAAATAAACTACCTAAAGATGGGAAATGCCAAAACATTTTTGAACCAATCCTCCAGCCATGCTTCTGTCCATTTCCTTGGACAAGCCTACCTCAAACCACTGCCCGTGGGACTGCATTTTGAGGATGACACAGGGGTCTGGTTTGGAAAGAGCATCTCTGTCGGAAATGCCTTTGCACGCCACACGCAGCTCAACTTTGGTGAGGCAGGGGCTGTTAAAGATTCCCAGCGTATTGGCAGCCGACTCATAAATGTTGCTCATCTTCTTCATTCTGTTTTAGGCAAAAAAAAGAAGAGGAAAAAAGACATACAAATCACCATAATATTTGTCAGTGGAGAAAACCTCCCCAATCACCCTTCAGGAAATTGTTCAAAACACGGCTTCAAATATGGAATGTATTTCTTATCTCACTTTCCACCCCGGTAGCACAGTTCCAGCAAAACAAACAAACAAACAAAACCAAAACAACAACAACGAAACCCAACAGGTGCTGGTGCACTTGACTAAGAACACTATTTTCCTATATAATTTGCATATATTTGCATAGTATAATTTTTAGTCTGTGAAATAAAATTAATGAATTAGTGCAATAGACTGCAAACTGTAATCCAGTGCTACATTAAGTGCATGGCTGCTGTGAAATTTTACAGATTTGTTGGTTAATCAATTTAATCACATCCCAAGTTTTTAAGACTTTCTAAAAATCCAGCTCTCCTTTTCCTTCTATGTGATGGCTCAGAGAAATATATTGTCCTACCTGAAGACATAATCTAGGTTTCCTGTCCCTAAACTCTGGCCCCAGCTTCTCAAGATGCAGTCAGCAAGCCACCTCCAAGAGAGAGGCCCAGAATCTGATTTCCTGCCCCAGTGGAGTGTATAACTCCATTCTCACCTTTCCCTTCCTGCTCCCACCCGCCATATCAGAATCCAGAATCACAATGAGGAGAGTAAGGGGGAGACTGTGCGAGAGGAAAAGCACAAAGCCTCTGATTCTGAACTCATGGAAAAGGCAGCCACAAATAAGCACTTCCTTCCCATCTCCACATGATAACCTTCACAGTAACACTTGGCATCGTGGAGGGTCTAGGCCACAGGGATCCCCCAGAGGCCACCAATACTCTCCTCCTTCTCTGAGGAGGACTGGCCCTTTAAGGACATTGGGAGATTCTCTCTGCAGTGAAATTCAAATTCCTTCTCATGGACTTCTGTTTCCTTGTAGATTCCTTAGGAAAAATGGCAATGGCTTCCTCAACCTCCCACAGCATTGGTGACCTACAGTGGAATTTCTTCATCTATAAAATGAGGAAAGTCCCTCCCTCTTCCTTCCCTTCCTCCACAAATATTCAGTGAGTTTCCCCTTGGTACCCAGCACCATACTAGGTTCAAGTACACCGCGCCACCTCTTTCACGAGGTGATGGCTGTGCCTCAGCGTTACATACACACACACACACACACACACACACACACACACTCTTACACACATCAGCTGGTCTCTCCAAACTTAACTGCTAGCTCCATGCCAAAGCCAAGCATTTTCCAACCTGACAATGCCCCTCCCTCATGGCAAATGTCACTGGAATTTTCTCTCCCAGAGCTGTCTCACAAGGCTCTCCACGCTTGCTCTCCATTCTTCTTCCTCTTTCTCTCTATCTCTTTCTTTCTTTTCTCCTTCCTTCCTTCCTATTTCCTTCCTTTCTTTCACATTCCAACTCTCTAGTGCCCTATTTATCTAATTATTGTGAACATATGTTTTTCCCTATATATGCTCGATGGAAATTGCCCTGAATGGCAGAAACTTATGTCCTAGAAGAGGAGTAGACAAACTATGGCCTGTGTGCCAAATCTGGCTCGCCACCCGTTTTGGTAAATAAAGTTTTATTGGAACATAGTCACGCTCATTCCTTTACCTATTGTGTGTGGTTGCTTTTACTACAGTTGCAGAGTTGAGTAGTTGCAACAGAGACTGCATGGCCTGCAAAGCCTAAAATATTTACTATCTGTCCCTTTTCAGAAAATGTTTTCCAATCTCTTTTCTAAAATATCAGCTAAGGGGGGGTTGCAGTTGGGGAGGAGTTGCAATTCTCTTTCAGTATGCATTTTGAATTAGTTTGAGGATGAGAGTTGCTCTATCTTCTACCATACTGAACATTAATAGGGACTTTGGGGCATTTGTTTTTTTACATATGAGAAAATTCAAGCTCAGAGAGGATTGGCACCTTGCCCATGTCACACAATTATTCTGATGGCAGAGCTGGGACTGGAATGTCAGTTTTCTATCTCCTAGCCCAATGTTATTTTTACCACATGTAACACCCTTAGCTGGAGAATTGTTTGAATCTACCAAGGAACAGTGGATAAGACAATACCCTTGATTTATTTCAACCTCCATATAGAATCATACTTTCTCTCTATTTTTAAATAAATTTTATTCATATATATAAAAAATGCACAAGTCACAAATGCACAATTAATAAATTATTGTTCCTCTATTTTTACAGGTAGTGAGCACACCAGTTATTAGAACAACATAGAAGACAGCGTATATGAAATGCAATTTATAAAAAAGTGAATGGAGAGAAGGAATAGACTAGTGAGAAGATGGCTTTGTGTTCACACAGTGTTGGAAGTATGTTGTGAACTCTTTATCAACTTTGTGATAAGGACAGCTTATTCTTCAATCAATGTCTTCCTGAATTCTGCTTACCCCAATGCATTAACCAGCTCCTTGGAATTCACATTGCTCTTCTGTAGTTCTGAGTGGCCTCTCCTATCTCTGGGAGGCATTGCTATCTCTTCTAACTGCCCCTATCCTTATAGGCTCACGCCCACATCCATCCCCTTTTTTTTTTTTTTATCTTAAAGATTTTACTTATTTAGAGTAGTTTTAGGTTCACAGCAAAATCGAGAAGGTTCAGAGATATCCCATATGCACCCTTCCCCCACACTTGCACAGCCTCCCCTATTATCAACATCCCCCACCAGAGTGGTACATTGTTACAATTGATGAACCTACATTGACACATCATTATTATCCAAAGTCCATAGTTGACATTAGGGTTCACTCTTGGTGCTGTACATTCTATGGGTTTGCACAAACGTATAATGACATGTATCCACCATTATAGTATTATACAGAGTAGTTTCACTGCCCTAAAAATCCTCTGTGCTCTGCCTATTCATCCCTCCCTCCCTCTTAGCCCCTAGCAACAACTGATCTTTTTACTGTCTCCACAGTTTTGCCTTTTCCAGAATGTCATATAGTTGGGATCACACAGATGTACCTTTTCAGGTCGGTTTCTTTCATCCATCCACTTTCTAGAACCACTGCCTCCTTTCTATAGAACACAAGCTTTTTCAATAGAATGGGACATCTTCTCTAATGCCTAGTGTTAATTGTGAGGTGTAATAGAAAAAAAAGACTCTATCAAGGAGACACGTAGTTCCTTCCAGGTTCAAATCTTGGCTCCTCCACTAATCATGTGATCTTGAGCAGGGTCACATGCTCATACTAAATACCTACCTCAAACAGTTGCTTCGATGGGCAGATTAAATAATATATGTAAAGTGATTAGCACAATGCCAGGTATATAGTAGATGCTCCAAAAATGGAGCTATTATTATTGTAATCTGACTGCTCTCAAGATTAAATCATTCATTCTCCCACTGCCAACTGGAACTCTCTTAGAATTCCTGCTACTATAGTACTTTAAGATCAAAGTTCTACTAGACCCCTTTAAAGGCATTCTGTCTTTGCAGCCCACAGAGTCTGGGCATACCACCCTCTACCTAAGAACACACAGCCACCTTTCAAATCAGTAGTTTGTCTGAGGATTCATACACATTAGCTGATTATTCTCACACGTTCACAAGGCAGATAGTAAAACAATGGTGACAATCTAATCACATGTGCCAAAAGCTGTCCAAAGTAACTTAAAATTATTAAGAAGGATTTTGAAATATGGATTTACACACATAGTCATTAATAGTATATCCTATACTATACATGTATGTAGTATTCTGAGTTATTTATTAGTTGATAGTAAATTTAAATAGTTTATAAACAAACAAATAAATGAACTGGGGCACATGTTCAGAATTTTTTTTTTTAACCAATGGGGTATATGATCCAGAAATTTTATGGATCATTCCTTTAGGCAATAGGAAACACTTGGAGGATTTAGAGCTGGGAAAATGGACATGATCAAATAAGCATTTGATAAAGATAAATCTGGTACCAATATGATGTTTGGACTAGAGGAAAGAAAAAGGTTTGTGATTGTCTAAGGCTGTTATGCTGGTTATTATCTATTCCTCTCTTGCCCACTGATTCTCCTCCCTTCTTCTCCTGCTCAGAGACCTAACAGGCTAACCTCTTTTGACTGCCAGCTCATTGTTGGCTAGTTTCCTGTTGCTGTAGTCTGAATGTTTGTGTCCCTTCAAAATTCATGTTAAAATCCTAGTCCCTAAAGGTGTTGGTATTAGGAGGTGGGGCCTTTGGGAGGTGATTAGGATATGAGGGTGGAACTCTCATGAATGGGATTAGTGCTTTTGTAAAAGAGATCCCACAGAGCTCCCTAGACCCTTCCACCATGTGAAGATACAATGAGAAGTCTACGACCCAGAAGAGGGCCCTCACCCAACCATGCCGGCACCCTGATCTTGGACTTCCAGCCTCCAGAACTGTGAGAAATAAATTTCTGTTGTTTATAAGCCACCCAGTCTGTGATATTTTGTTATAGCAGTCCGAATGGACTAAGACATCTATTGGGTTTGACTAAAGGAATGCAGATCCAGGGAAGAGAGGAGAGAGAGAACAGCATAGTTCTTCCCAACACCTCCTCTGATCCTTAGAGGTGGCCAAGTCACTACATGACCTGGGTCCTGTCAGGCAACTCTGTCCAAGGCTCCAGCTATCACTATGCTTTGGTAATACTGTTTCCTCCTTTTGCTCCTTCAGCCTCTTCTGCAAGTCTTAAGTTGGGCATCCAAGAGGCAGAAACTGAAACAGGGATTCAGACGCACTTGATCAACTGAGCAGAGGACAGAAAGGAAGTGAAGTAAGCATGGAGCAAGTAAGTAAGTGGTCTCAGTAGGAGTCCAGCTTCAGCACGGTTCCAAGGGGGGTTCTAGAGCATGAACTGTACAATGGGTTGGTCCCACCTTAAGGAAAGAAGTCCACCCTCTTATAGCCCCATGTCAGTCAGTCATGCTAGGGTTGGGGAGGCATAACCTCTTAGATTTTTTCCCTCCCCACCATTGGCTGAGAGCTATTAGGCAATTCTCCAGAAAAGGGGCAACTGTAAGCCATTAGCAGCCAAGACTCACAGCCATTGGGGGAAGGATGCACTAACTTGATAAAGGGAATCTGGGCAGACTATCAATAGGGTCTATTTAACCACAGTAGTTAGTCTCTGACAGCCTCCCTGTCAGTTCCCTTAACTCTGCCCATGTCACTGTAAATGAGCCCTCCATTAAAATCTGTTGAATCCACAGAGATGATTCTGTTTCCTGCCTGGAAGAGAACTGAACTAGAGCAATACAGCTGGAAGAAAAATCAGCATTGGTGTGGCTGACAGCTGCTAAGATGACCCCTTCCTGGTATTTATACCCTTGTTTAACCCTCTCTCCTGAGGTGGGGTGGTGCCTGTAAATTGCATTTAATCAATAAAATATATCAAAAGCAATGGGATGTCAATTCTACAATTACAATGCATAAGACAGTAACATCATCTTGCTAAGAGACTTTCTCCCTTGCTGGCTTTCATAAAATAGCCATGTTGGAGAGGCAATGAACTGAAGGCAACCAACAGCCAGCAAGAAAGTGAGGTCCTCCTTCCAACATGCTGAAAGGAACTAAATCCTGCCAACAACCACCTGAGCTTCAAAATGGATCATTCCCCAGTCGAACCTATGAGGAGACTGCCGCCCTGGCTGACACCTTGATTGTAGCCTTGTGAGACCCTGAAACATAGAATCCAGCTAATCTGTGACCATACTCCTGCCCCACAAAAACTGTGAGATAACAAATGTGTTGTTTTAAGCCACTAAGTTTGTGCATATTGTTATGCAGCAATAGATAACCAATAAAAACAGATTCAAGAGGTACTCCAGTGTAAAAAAAAGAAAATATATATATATATATACATTAACTCCTTTAGGACAAGAACTACTTGTGATACTTTATTGCACCCCCAATAGTGCTCATCTTGATAATATTTGTGGACTGGTGATGAAACCAACAAAACCCTTCAATTTGGGGGGATAGGATAAGAAATGTGGAGATACTCAAGGTAAAACTGTCAACTTTTCACAGTTATACCTAGGGTCCTGACTTACCTCCATGTCCATGCACAAATGAAAGCCCTGATCAGATATAGTGGAGTTCATGAGTTCCTCTGGTTGCCCAGAGGTAACAGCAGTCCTGACCTTGACTTTGGAGGTGGTACATAGGCTAATGAAGTCAAATTATTTGGCCTTGGCCCAGGTGAAGCTCACTGCTGAAAGGTGATCACAAAATATGGCTCTGTCAATGAGTGATCAGCTACTCTAACCCCAGATAAGTGGAGTAAACAAGTAATTTCACACTCTGTTAGAGAACAGGATTAATATGGCCAGATTATCAATACATTTTCCATGGCCTATTTAAATCCTCTTTGTTGCCTTTTTTTTTTTTTTTTTTGTGAGGAGATCAGCCCTGTGCTAACATCTGCCAATCCTCCTCTTTTTTTGCCGAGGAAGACGGCCCTGGGCTAACATCCGTGCCCATCCTCCTCCACTTTATATGGGTCGCCGCCACAGCATGGCTCGCCAAAGCAGTGCATCGGTGCGCGCCCGGGATCCGAACCAGCGAACCCCGGGCCGCCGCAGCGGAGCGCGCACCCAACCGCTTGCGCCACCGGGCCGGCCCCTCTTTGTTGCTTTTCATACAATACCCTGGTTTCACAGAGACTAATGTCTGCTGAGAATTATTTTGATGAAAGCTGACTTTTGGGCAATTTCAGAAGCAAATTATAATTGTCCTTTCACTCAGATAATTTAAGTTATTAAAAAACCACCACTTCAGCATATCCACACTCTCTAATAGGACAAACTGATCCCGAAACTTAATTAGTTTCTGAATGAGTTGCAAACAACGCCAAGACAATAGAGAGCTCAAGAGGAAAGCTTGAGTCACAGGGGAACCGATCGAGCAGAGCTTGTCTCAAAACTGTTAAGAATAAGTGCATAATCACTGTTCTGCTTGCTTTGGCATTATTTGGCCTTTTTAAAGATTTTATTTATTTATTTTATTTTTTCCCCCCAAAGCCCCAGTGGATAGCTGTGTGTCGTAGCTGCACATCCTTCTAGTTGCTGTATGTGGGACTCGGCCTCAGGATGAACGGAGAAGCGGTGCCTCGATGCGCACCCGGGATCCGAACCCGGGCCGCCAGCATCGCAGCGCGCGCACTTAACCACCAAGCCACAGGGCCGGTATTTGGCCTTTTTAAATGTCGCAGCACATCCAGGGAAGGCTGGTGTGCTGGATGTCTCTATCATACAACCATTCCATCTCAATTCAAGAAACAGGTACAAGGCATCCGCTTTGTGCCCGGTACTGTGCTGGATGCTGGAGTCGCTGAGCATGCATTCACTCAGCTGGAGATAAACCAGGTGTTATTCCATTGGGACTTGTCAGTTACTTCCTATTCAACATTCCTTCATCTACTTTTGGATCAAGAGTAAATCTCTTAGGCAGCAAGAACTGTGCTAAACACTGTAAAGGATGGAGACGTGAATGAGACCAT